GGTTAAATCTTAATTTGGTTTTTTAATTATTGGACGAATTTTTGAGTTAATTTTTAAATTAAAAATTTGATGATTTAATCTTTAAAATTTTTAAACTTAATTTTAAATTAATTTTTTTGTTAAAAAATAATTAATATATCTGTTATTTAATATCAAATTATTTGATAGTAAACAATTGTTATTTGATTGCTTACAATGTCTAGTTAATAATAAAACACAATAATTATTTTGTTAATAATAAGACACATTAGTTATTTTTTAAATAAAAGGATCAACTTAGATTAAACTTAAGAACCTAACCTTGGGATCCTAATGGTTTGTTTCAAATCGTTAGATGTTTAGGTTTATTAGGTTTATTATTCGAGATTTCGAATTTCATCAATGTTTTGAATTTTTTTTTAAATTTTTAAAAATTATAAATTATTAAAAGAAAAACTTAGATTAAATTTAAAAATATTAAAAATCAAATATATATTTTTTTAATTTAAAGACCAAGTCAAAAGTTTTGCATAATAATTGAAGTCCACACTGAGGGGTTTAACCTAATAATTGGACATTAGTAAACTGCACATGGCCATGGCAACTGAGTCCTACTAGTTAGATGGCGACCCATTAATTTGTCATTTGATGGATTCCTTGTCGTCGTTAAAACATATCACCTCAAATTCATTCTCTCTCCTTACTGTAGTTTCTTTTTAAAACGTCACTGACACTTGATGTTCACAAATCACAAATCAAAGACTTCTATCTTTTTTTTTCTAGAGAATGACTTTATGTTTTGTCAGTCCTAGTTAAGTTCGGTAATAAAGGAGTTTGAGGCGACGAGAAAAAGTAAGTAGGAACTAGGAATTAGGAACTGGGAAGATTTGTACGGGTGGTGTTATTGCCACAGCTTCAAAGGTTAACACCACAGCTTTTTTAATTAATTGACCATTAATCCACGCGGAGAAGGTGATGACTGCTGCAAGTTGGATTCAAAATGAGGGGTATAATAGTTAAATAACTAAAAAAAGCTGTGGCATTAACATTAGTGGCTGTGGCAATAACACCACCCGATTTGTACTCTCTTTGTTAATTTTTACTAATTTAATTTGATATTTTAGTTTTTTTT